CCAGTCAAGGCTCAGTCTGGATAATGTAGTACATCAATACTGAAAGAACCAAGAGGGAGCCATAACACAGAGGCTCCCAAATGCAAGGAATCAAATGTCAATATTATATTTAGCTTCTTGATATTTCTTAAAGGGCAGTGAATCCTTTCAGCTACTTTAGTCAAAAGTATTCCCATTGGCAGAAATGTAGACACTCCATGCTTCGTGTTAGGAACAAAAAGATCCTACACTGATTGATCAAAATCACAGTTATTAACCTAGAGAGGACATGCTGAAAATCACGTGAAAAAACAATGCAGCAGGTTAGTCTAATTTACCAAAATTTTATTGCAGCAAATCAATCAAATGGTCCTCAGTAGTTTGTACGGACTCCACGAGCATGTATGCATGCCTGGTAATGTCAGGCATGCTCCTATTGAGATGGCGGATGGTGTCCTAGAAGGTCTGGACCGGGACATCACTGAGCTCCTGGATAGTGTGAGGTGCAACCTGGTGGCATCGGATGGTCCCAGAGGTGAGCATGGAGGCCAGTAAGTGGGAATTCTTTCATTCTCAATGAACTGCCTGGAATGTCTCACCACATGATGCCAGGTGGGTATGAAGAGCAACTCAGACCGTCCGTGGCCCTGTCCAGCTCTCCTAGAAAAACTGCCTGTCTCTGTGCTGGGAGACACAGCAAACCTTATGGCAATGCCACATATTGCTCTGTCATCCTTGAGGAGTTCAACTGCCTCAAGAACTACCTCTGTAGTGTCCACATATCACCTTCCTTTAAATTTTTGAGCAGCATATTTACCACCCTGCTCATCCATGAAAACTAAAAGGTCAGAGGTGGGTAGAGCAGCAGTAGGACCCTAATAGAACAGGCTTTAATGACAAAAAAATGACATTTACTAAGTCAGATACAGCATGAAAGGAGCAGATGGAAGGGAGGCGGGTGGCAAAGTGGCTTGCAGATGTGTAGCAACTGACAAAGCAGCTTAAATAGAGCACCACATATAGCCATATATGTGATGTGTGGATTGTATCACTCGAGCCTTCAGTGGGCATTTCTTGGAACTGCAGCTGACCTTGACTTCATGGCCTCTTTGAACAAACACCATGTTTAGATTTACAAACAAAGAGCTCATACGTGACTCTGATTCAACTGATTGAGTGCGATGCAGTTGGTGTTCAGCAAGAAGCTCGACAACAGTCTCCAGGATGTAGGCACACGTTTCTCTCTCAGTGAGGAGAGTCACTGAGAGAGAAATGTATGGATAATCAAATAATCAGCCTCAATTAAAATCAAAAGAAGAAAACCCGTAGAAATAATAATAATAATAATAACATTCATGAGCCAAACCAGAAGCTTATCTTCCTGTGTTATGGCATAAATATTTATGACAGTCAGATTCCTCAGACTGGCTCAGGCATTTAGTGGATTTGGTTTTCTTTTTCTTTTTTTCCACAATCTGCCAAGCGCATCAAAACTTACTGGATGGCATTTCTAATCTAATCTTTCTTCCTTTCTATTTTTAAACACAAACTCTGTTACAAGAACTGTAGTTTCCATATAATTATGTTATATTAAGAGAGTCATAGTTACTCCCGCCGTTGACCTGCACTTTAACATTCAGAGCACTGGGCAGAAATCACATTGCGTCAACACCCACCGTGGGCCTTCGCGATGCTTTGTTTTAATTAATATGAACCAACTTAAATTAAAGCCAACAAATTTGTTTTAAAGTTTAAAATTGAATGTGCAGAAGCAGCTTGCAGCTTTCGCAAAAAATCACAAGTAACTGTCAAAAAAGACAGAAAAGATCTGTATTTTTAGACCATGTCAGAAATGACCACGACACTAAAAAGGGTATCCAAGAGTCATGATTCAGTAGCAGTGAATGTTTAATGTTGTGAAAGTGGCTGTCAGCTGACACACTTTATACTTTGACACAGAAGCAAGGAAAGCCAGTAGCAGCAGCTGGCCAGAATAGCCTAACCAAGCACTGCAACACGTGGGTGGAACTGGCCCTACAAGGACAAATGAAGCAACTTTGCAGAAAACTGTAAGAAGCTAACTAATGTTGTCTTTTGTATTAAATTGTAGGCTCTTCTGCTTCCATAGTCCATGTTTGTTGCTGGAATGAGGGGAAAAAAGAGACTAGTCCAACTCTCACCTCCTCCCCTTCCTCTATGTGATAATCCTTCCTGGTGTTAGGGCCTCCGACAAACATGACAAGCACCTGGGAGAAGTGCCTGAGACAAAGAGGAAATAAAATCATGTCAGTGCATGCACTGCGTGTCCTCGCAGTTCAACTGTCTGAATCCCAAGTGTTCAAACCGCTGCATAAATTACACATTGCTCAATAATTACAAAACTCAATTCACATTTGCAAAGAATAAAGAATGAGAGTGTAGCTAAGAGTAAACGTGTTACTTACATGAGTTTGTTGCACACCGGGGGCAGGAAAGCATTCTGATTTTCTGCAATCCAGTGTTCCACATTGACCTGAAGAGTACTGCTGTTCATTTTGATGTGATTTGTGCTGCAGAATGAAACCTCTGGGACTCTCTGTCTGCTGTTATGACTGCTTTAAGCAAGAGGACACATAAAGTCCAAAATGCAGAAGTGGGAGTAAGCAAATCGGGGTGGAGCACAAGGGTTAAAGGTTGTTGTTTAATAAGTAACATAATGCTGTTCTGCAGACCAAATGGAATCCTTTGCAACATGCACAACGCCACGATGGGAGCAGTTTTCACCCGGCCTACGCTGTACAAAGGGTATTTGAGGTCTAGCTGAGGTAAAAAATTATATTCACTCAGTTTTCTGCTTCATTGGTGGTTGTATATTTTGGTTGGGTTTCAATCAACTTATAATTAAAGTCTGTTCCTTTAATTTTCTATTTTTATTTAAGTAAAAGCACACAAGTTAGACTTATTGTGCATTTTGTGTAATCTAAAACTGTTGGGTTGATCTGACTTTAAAACAAACAAAAAAAATTGCTTAAATCGTGTGTTACCAATTCACGTAATAAAATTAAGTTCTCTGTTTTTTCAGTGGTCTTTTTTTTTGGGGGGGGG